TAGTATCATCATAAAATATGATTGCCAATACGACAACTCTCTATCCACGACCTAATGTCATTGATGTATGCAACTTTAGGTATGACCTTTAACGCGGAGCATTGTCTTACACAACATATTATTTTTTATTAAAAAACGACTTCTACTAAATTCCGGATAACTTTTATACTAACTATACTGCAGTTTAACCATTACACTTTTTGGACAACTATCGTACTTTAAATAAAAATAAGATGATGTAGTATAAACTATCAATCCAACCCCAAATGTCGTTCATGTATGCAACTAATAATCATACGGCCGTCAACGTAAAGCCTTGGCCCATGCCGCATAACAAGCTATATAGGATTATAAAATGACCAGTGTAAAACAATTCAAAAGAGAAAGACTACGGCTTGATATATAAATAAAACAATAAACGAAAATGTAAAAGGAACTCAGTAAAAAACGAAAAACCATTGCCTGAATCACATTCCCGTTACACCATCGGACTTTAGCGTGTCATACCATCGCACTTTAGCGTGATATCTGATCCACTTAAAAAAAAAAACAACCATCGCACTTTAGCGTCTGACACCATCGCACTTTAGCGTAGACCATCGTACTTTAGCGTGACCATCGCACTTTAGAGTACCATCGCACTTTAGAGTCCTACATGTATATTCAGTAAATTTAATGATATTATGAATAGTGCTGTCATATTTCAGTGTGAACTGTATACTTATAACTAACTGATGCTTTTAATGATAAAGTATTGTGTTAGTCCAAATAATTATGACGTCGTCACAGCATTTATTTAAAATAGCCTTTCAATACCGTCATAGTCATGATAATTGTTTGGACTAGTATTGTGAAAATAATTGTATGAATTTCAAGATTATACATTCGTTACAAAAATACGTCACTGTTTGTGATGTCCTGTGCTGTCGATGATGGAAGATGTTCGTTGTTATTCTGCGGTTTACATGTTGTAACGACTATTACATTATGTATTTGTGCGTTTCTCTGTGCTGAGTGTTCTTGCGTTTGTTTGTGCTATATTTCTGTCACGTATTGTTGTCATTTTAGCGATGTTTTTTAACACTGCCACATAAGCGGGAGGTTTGTCTAGCCATAAAACCAGGTTCAACCCACCATTTTTTCTTAAAATGTCCTGTACCAAGTCAGGAATATGGCAGTTGTTATCAAATAGTTCGTTTCTATGTATGTTGGCGTTTGTTTTTGTTGCACTTCAGTGTTTCTGTTGTTCCGTTGTTTTCCTCTTATTGTTGATATGTTTCTCTCGGTTTTAGTTTGTAACCCGGATTTGTTTTCTCTCAATCGATTTATGACTTTTGAACAGCGGTATACTACTGTTGCCTTTATTTTATATATGCGTGTCAATCACTGATATATAATAACTAAAAGCCTTTGCATAGGAATGTGTGTACAGTATATCTTTTAGATTTTAATGTGAGGAACTTTCTACTGAGCAAATATATAATAAAACACTGATTTTATATATAGATGTCGTAAACAGGTAAAATCTTCTACTGAAATTATGTGCGTAATGTCAATCTTTTAGACTTTTATGTCCCAAGGCTTTTAAATTCGAATGGTGACTTTTAATGCGACATCGCTATCAAATAGTCTAAGCATATTTAATTTTTGCCGATCGTTCTTAGATTTTGTTTAGCTTGACATTGTTTTTAATATCAAATACATGACTTGGTGAATACTATGAGTGGTACATGTATTCATTTCTTAATTTGGCGTATAAATATTTGCATACGCCTGGATTAATTAGGTTTCCTTACATATATATCTTTCGATTTCGCGCCTTTCTCTCGTCGAGAAAAATACACTGGTCCGAATCAACACGTATATTTTACATGCATGATGTGTTCTTCTATAGAATTATTTCTTTTCTGATTGAAAATGTGTATGCCCCCGCCGTCATCGGAGGGGGCATTAAGTGTTACCCTTGTCCGTCTGAACGTACGTCCAAAATTGGTTTCCGTTCTCTAACTTTAGTTTGCCTTCACCAAATGTTATGACATTTATACACAATGCATATTACCACAAAACACAGATCAAATTCGAATTTAGGTGGCGTCACTCCTACCGTCCTGGAGTTATGCCCCATATATATATATATATATATATATGGAAAAATTGCTGATTTTTTCGTTACCGTTCTCTAACTTTAGTTTGCCTCAACCAAATGTTATGAAACTTATACATAATGCTTATTACCACAAAACTCAGAACAAGATCGAATTTGGGTGTTGTCACTTTTATCGTTCTCGAGTTAAGCCTCTTTATAGCGTTATATGCAAGCAGGGGCATCATCTGTATCCCATGGACACATTCTCCACTTTTTGTATATGTCGATTTCCTACCATTCATTCGGAGCTTTGGAGACAACACATTCCAGAATTTTTATGATTTATTATTGAACTGATCAGTGCAATTTCTCATCCAATATTACTTTCTGTGTTTTATCTACGCATTATTAGGGCGACCTTAATATTCGTATGAGCATAGCGAAGTAGAACATAAATATACTATATACATTCCTGTAAGTATAGTTGTGCACATGCAACTTTTACGGCGGAGAACTTTTTTTATGCATTATTTTTAATATTTTTAATGTGCATGTTTATTTTATCCGTTTCCGTTAAATAAACAGTCAAATACATGATCAAAGTAACCATAATCTTTTTGGTTGGTTTGTGAATTCTGAAAGAGACTATATGAATACATCGCAACACAATCCTGTTATGGCTCTTGTCAAAATGGGTTAGGATATCATTTCAAAACAGTCTGGAGAGAACGACCATACTGGATAGAAAAAGATAAGCTGGGAAAAATTAAACCTAGCACACTACCAGTCTTAATTGTCTGAGAAACTCCCAATACTTGATAATGACAATCTTGAGATTAACATTAGTAATATTACAATGGAATAAGGAATAATACTTTGTAACGGCACAGACATGTCAGCTAAGGAATGTTCATGCCAAACCAAAACAGCACAAAAACCTATCCAGAAATAAATACTGGATAGAGCAACACCGAGACAACTGGAAGCTGTAAACTGCTAATCGCTGAATAGAGGACTAGTATGGAAAATACCTCACATCTGAAAAGAACTTGCAACACCTTTAAACTCTTATAATGAAGATAGTTCATATCATAACCGAGAAGAGCTGGACTCTAACTCTGAAGGGTATCTCAAATGGGGAGGCCTGCAAAAATCTCTGTGCCTGAAGAGCAGGTAGAAAAGGTTATGAAGTCATTAAAAAACCTTAATCAGCAGATTATGCAAACTTGACAAGCGAGTATTTAAAGAATGGAAGACCAGCAATAGTATCAGTAGTGACTAAGCTTATAAATATAATTGTTTGTGTATGCTCCATTCAAGATCTACTAAAACCTGGTAAAGAAACACCGGTGTATAATCATAAGGCAAAGCCACTAGACGACCCAAACTCATATAGAAAAATAATTATCACCAGTATTTTGAATAGAATATTAGAAAATTATATTTGGAAAGAAAAATGAATTACCGGGTACTACCACAAAAAAGACACAGAGTTTATTACAGAGAGGATTCACTTGTGACATATTCAGTCTAATGCGGCTTTGATCCAAAATGAATTGATTGCACAAGCACAAGACTTACATTGCCTTTCTTGACGCCCATTATATGGCATTTGACTTAGTTTAGCTAAGTTCACTATTATGAAAGCTCCATCATAGCGGGATTGAAAGTGACTCATGGCTTATTGGTACAAAGACCTATCAGCGACTTCACAAGAATTTAATCTGAACACCAAGGGGTATGGTACAACAGGGATGAGTTACCTCTCTGTATATATCAATCCAATGCTGGATCACAAAAAGAACCAACATTTCGGAAGCTGTATTGGACCAATCAACGGTTGTACACCAACTGTAGCAGATGGTGTGTGTCTAATTGCAAACAATTTAGAAAACCTACAAGAAATGTTTGACATACAATGGGATAATACATACAGAGATCAGTACTTCATATGTAAACAAAAATTACCTGTTGTTCCATTTAACAACACACAACAAATGTTATGATGTACAAAGAAAGTTACCAACGGCACAGACATCAAGGTGTTGAATGAGAAAATATGTCAAAATTTGGCTCATGGAATGTAAACAACTCAATGATCAGTGCTGCATGAAGGGCAACATATACACTAATTAGACATGGTCCCCATGGCTTTAATGGATTAAACCCCACTGTATCCTTTCATATTATCCGTATATTTATAGTACCAACTCGTACATGGACTTGAAATGGTTAGATTAACAATTAATAACACCAAAGCTCTGTCGTCAGTTATTAAAATGCATTCAGCATTTACCTGAAAGAGCAGCTGACATAGCAATACCTACCTTTTATCTGTCCAGAGGCCAATAAATGCTGAAATCTATAAAACCACCTTAACTTTGTTTGGTAATATAATTAAATATCTGTGTCATAAATGACGATGGCTATGTTCCATTTGTTATAGTCATTTTTTCAATTTTTAAATCACCAAATATGACTTATTGCAGGAATTTTCTTGTCATAAGACACATAACTGGGACAAATGGTGTATCAGGAACAGTTTACCCTGTCCAGAACACCAGAGTTCATCCCCAGTTTTTAGTCTGGTTGCTGCTGTTTAATCTTTTCTTTTCTGTGAAGTATTTTCTGGACTTTTGTATGTTTTTTTCATTTAGCCAAGGTGTTTCTTTCTTTGACTTGTGGTTTTGAAGGCCTCTAGATATTTTCAAATATTGTAAATTTGTGTCATGGGGACTTTATCTATATATGGACTTCAAACCAGAATTGAATACAAAATAAAAAGTATTAAATTCTTTCAAGCATTTTAAAATTCTAAAACCAGGAAATTTTTAGTAAAGTTTTGGATTTTTCTCTAGCCTTAATATGAAAAACCCAGTCACTAGATATCCTGCAAACAAAAATAAAGAAAATCTAGTTTTGCATCAAAATTTATATACAAAATAAAAGCTATGATCTTTTCAATGATTCTAATTTTTCAATGTCCTCTAAGTCCATATCTGCTGTAATTTTTCCTTCTTTAAATTCCTCTAATACTTTGTCAACATACAATGCTTCAAATAACTGTTCAGGTGTTGATGCCTCTGATTCTATACTTGGAGATTTATAGGGTACATAAGGACCTAACTGCAAAATAAATTATCACTCATTGAATTCTTGGCTCTCTGAACAATCTCATTAAAATACAGAACCTGTGTCCAAGCTTTGCTTACAAGGATCTGAAAACCCTCCGTTCTATTTTCTGTTTTAAACTCTTTTCCGGATCCTCTAGTTTTGTCAAATTAATACACACCTTTGAAAATTTGAAGACTGAAATTTCATTGGCTGATGTATTAATTACCAGAATAGAAAGTAGAATGGAGCGGTGTCAGATCCTTGTAAGTAAAGCTTGAACACAGGATTTGTATTTTAATCAGATTAGGCTCTGAATAGTGTTTAGAATCAGCTGGAAAATTATAATAGATAATTTTAATAGATCAATCATTATGATCAGACAACATGCTCCAATAAAACTTTTGATTTAAAAACATTATTAATTTTACTGCTAATAATGTAGAAATTAAATAACCGTAAACACGCTTTTACTTATAAAATACTTGTGCATGCCAAATATAGAATTTAAGTAAAATTTCCAACCATTACAGATGTATAAAAGCTGAATAGTGCACACCAAAAAAAATGTACATATAAAAAAAAGAAGATGTGGTATGATTGCCAATAAGACAACTCTCCACAAGAGACCAAATGACATAGAAATTAACAACTATAGGTCACCGTACTGTCTTTCAACAATGAACAAAACTCATACCGCATAGTCAGCTATAAAAGTACCGATATGAAATATGTAAAACAAATCAAATGAGAAAACTAATATATGTTCATAATGTATATTTTATGGGTGTTTAAGGCATTCTTAACATATACGGGGAGTTTTCAAAAACTTTTGTTAAAAAAAAAAGTTTATATATATTTTAATTTTATCAATTTTAGAAAAATTATTATTTATTATATATATATTAAATATCTATTAATGAAAATTATAAAAAATAAATCGAAAATTTTAAATAATTGATCGATATTTGGAACAGCAGTACTCAGTAGCTCCCATAATATCAATGTGAAAAAAAAAACTGAATCTCTACATTTCCATAAACATGACAAAAAATAAATAGTATGTCAGTATGATATACATCAATTAACCATCCACTTTATACTGTTGATTAAGAAATTATTATGGTGTTTTTATCAACATGATTAATGGGGAAATTGTGACATGATAGGTTTTGCAAATATAAAAATTTTGCATTTTAAATTTTGATTATTTTGTATGCACCATTTCCTCAAATCACAATAATTAATCTCACATTTTTGTCTATTGTTTTACATTAGCAATAACAAATGCATTCAAAATTTTCTGAATTGACAGTAGTTTATATAGGTGCATACACATTTTTAATTGACCCCTAAATGTCAGATTAACTGTTGCAATGTACAAATTCCAGTTGTCATGTATGATTTGTATTTGGTTGTATTTGGGTTCAAGATGGTAGTGTGGGAATATGATATCGCTTAATTGCTTATCATATTCATTTAATTTTCATGGGTTCTTGAAAAGGCGCATACATGTGTCTTGGATGCATGATTTTTTGTCTGGACACCCCACACAAGGAACCTGTATTGAGTCCTGTCATTATCAAGATTATCCTTTAGAAAGAATTTGAAAAACGTGCTTCTTATGTCATTTATGTTCTGGCCTTAAATGTCCTGCCATGCAGTACAGGTTTTTCTCATTGTTGAAGGCCGTATTGTGACCTATAGTTGCTAACATCTACGTCATTTGATCTCTGGTGGAAAGTTGTCTCATTGGTAATCAAACCACATCTTCTTATTCTAATATACTTGTCAATAATTTTACCAGAAATTGACTTCCATTTTCATGCATTGCTTACAATGGTCAAATCTGAGAGACACGAAACATTAATGATGTATTTGTACCTCAATGTGATGTGTCTACTTATGGTAATGGAACTAAAATTTCAAAAATATATACTTAACATCATTCATCTGTGTGGATAAAAAATTGAATAATGTTTTTGTTTGGTATATTTATTTCAAAATTCTCCAGAAGATATTCTTATTCAAATGAGACACCACTACATACCTTAAAATCAGTGAGATCAGGAACTATAAATTCTGGTATCATCTCTTTCTTATTTTTAAATCTGTAAGTTTTCCTGTCCACATATCCTGTCGGTTGCACAACTGCAAAATATAATGTAATGACAATTAATAAAATGCACAAGAGTTTTCTACAACTGAATATGAACATGATAACAACAGTCAGATTACAACTCTGACATCTACAAATACTAGTGGATCCAAAGTTCGCATGGTAAGGGTTACACATAGCTTGAAGACCAATTATTGGTATGTAACCACATCCTTTTTAAATATGTTTAGCATCATTTATATATATACAAAACCGAGAGAACTTCTGATAAATGCTCCAAGATAATCTTATCTTGAACAAAGAGCTACATGTATTTACATCTGGAAGTCTAAAACCTTGTAAAGAACAGATCACATACATGAAATGGCTTTTTTTAATTCAACATGTTCAAAGCGATAAAAGTCATTGTTGGAAAGATTGGAAGAGCTGTGTACATAATTTCTATCAATATTTTAGTCTTCTATTGAGATATGTGGTGAACAAAATGACAACATGATATAATTCTGAGAATGCTCTGGCTCCAAAAAAATTAAGAGCCAGAAAAATCGCCAGCTTCTATATTTTGTCACCAGTTTGGAAAACTTGGAGCCAACTTTAGAGCCAGCTAGAGTCTTTATTTTGTCTACCCAAATTGAAACCACATTCAATTTTAATTTCTTATGCACTGAACATAATGGTTAATTTTACATGTAATATTGCCCTGTTATTGTAAATGTTGTATCAATATGTTTTTTCTTCCTTTCTGTGAAAGAATAAAACAAACCTAGCGTTTCCTACAGGAGGTTTTGGCATGGTATGACAGTTCTTTCTTGATGCCCTGCCCTTTTTTTGGAAAAAAAAATTGGTGCCATGCCCCATTTGCGTCATATTTTCTAACGCCTTGCTGTAATTTAAGATATGTACTAGGATGAATGTAAAGAGAACACCTGTTCTACATATGAAAATAAAGATCCTTTACAAATGGGGGTTTAAAGATAGTTAGATTAGATTAGATTCATCTTTTAATAAGACCAATTTGAGTTATTTCCCTTTTGATGAAATCAAAATTTTAATGGCCAACATTTTTTTGAATTTCGTAGTTATGTTTGAACATTTTTGAAGTACAAATACTTTTCGTGATTCAATCTAATAAGGACACCATTAACTTTGTACCTCTGTGAATTTAAAATGTAGACAATTTAAAAGGGAACAATGCGATAGTTTGAGTTATAATTTTACGATGCATGGGATGAACATTTTACGTAAACAATCAGCTGTTTGTTTATATTTTTAATTTAAGTACGAGCTCTTTAACTATTCGGTCGGTAGAGACGTCAGATTGGGTGTGATTTTACGACTGCTTTCTTATTGTTGTTATCTAAATAGAATTAAAGTTAAGAGAATAGCTGATATAGTTTTGATTTGTACAAAAAATCAACACTGTTTCAACAACAAAAATTTGTACTTGATCTGAGTTTTGTGGTAATAAGCATTGTTTATAAGTTTCATAACATTTCTTTGAGGCAAACTAAAGTTAGATAACGAAAACAAAAAATTCAGCAATTTGTCCATTTGTAAAGGGGCATAACTCTAGAACGGTTAAAGCTCACCAAAATTCAAATTTGATCTGTGTTTTGTGGTATTAAATAAGCATTTTGTATAATTTTCATAACATTTGGTTGATGCAAACTAAAGTTTGAGAACAGAAACCAACTTTGGGACGTATGTACCTACGGACAGACGTACAGACAGACAAGGGTAAAACTTAATGCCCCATCTGCTACGGCTTCCCCGTTGGACCCATACCAGGGATACCCCTCGCTGAAATAGAATTGTTGATATTTCCAAATATTTCCACCAATTCCAAATCTTAGTGAAAAAATACTGTAATTATACTATAAATGTATGACACCAAGGCCAGAGCTTTTACAATAAATAATCAAATATGTATTGAAGTAAAGAGTTTGGTAGTTTTTGTAAGGTTAAAAAAGATTGACACGAAAGAGGGGTAAAAAAGGATAAATGTTCAACGAAAACAAAAATCTTGATGTTAAGGATTTTGACGTTTGAAAATTGCAGGTACTTAGCATGCTTAGCTTGCATACCATGTAAGGCCAGTTTTTCTGCCATTATTTTGCTGCCTCCTTTTCTCGTCTCGTTGACATGTTTACCAGTAATTGGGAATTTAGGGTCGAACGGCTGCAAATCTTGTTTTCTTCGATAGGAACATAAACATCCTCCAGACGAGAAATTTCTGGAAGAAATCAATGTGCAGTTTCTAGCAAAGACTTTCAATATCATTTTTCTCATACAGCATGGGAGAGGGTTACACTAATGACTGGACCGAATGACAGGACCGAATGACAGGACCAAATGAAAAATGCTAATAACTTTTTTATTTTTCATAGGATTAATTTCAAATTTAAAATTTAATAGGATTTCATCATTTAATATATAAATTTAAAAAGAAAAAATTATAATTTTTTTTCAAAAGCTTGCGAAAACGTGACCTGACCTACGCTGACAATGACAGGACCAATATCGAGAATGACATGACCAAATGAAAATGCTAATAACTTTTTTATTTCTCGAAGGATTTGTTTCAAATTTGAAATTTAATTAGATTTCAACATTTAATACATAAATATAAGAAAAAAATATAAAAAAAAGTATTAAAGCTTGCGAAAATGTGACTTGACCAACGTTGACATTGACCTGACCAATATCGACATGACCTGACCGATGAAAAGTCCTAATGTTCTGTTATTTAAATAACAAAATTAGAAAATTGTTAAATTTTGATCATTAATAATTAAGAAATTACTAAATAATCAGAAAAACAATTTTTTTTTGGGGTAATAAACTTGACTTGACCAACTTACGTTGACTGTGTCATAATTAACCGTTATCATGACAAGGAAAGATGACTAATTACATATCTATATGTAAAAGTATTTACTTCAAATTTTTCGAAATATTAAAATTTAAACCATTCATTTTATCAAATTTAAAAACTATAAAAAAAAATCCTCCTGATCATTGTTCTTATTATTTTCAAGTCCAGACTAATCTAAATTCAATTCTAAAGTCCAGAATAGTTTAATTCCTATATCAAATTTGTGTATAATCTAAATACTGATTCTGTAAAATAATTTAAACTGTTTTGCTAGCATTCTGCATGACATTTATAGTCATCCCAGGGTACAGGACGAGGACCTAGCTAGCAGTGTACCCCACCCTGAAATAAAGAAAAAATAAGTAGGATTACACATGCAAATAGATAATTAAAAATGTACTTGTAAAAAGAAGATATAAAAACTGAAAACTTTAAATTATAGATCACAATAAAAAAAACTACGTCTATGTTTGAAAGCATTTAAATCAAAATTATGTGATAGAAATTATCTTACTTAAAAAATAACTGAAAGGTAATGCATGTAAACTATTATCAAACATATTTACAAACGAACATTTATAGACTTTCGGGAAAATTTAAAACTAAGAAAGATATCCTGCACAAGGCTCGGGCATACCTCAAGTAGTCCGCGAAAATGTTTATTTATTTTTTATGTAAATATTTTAAACTACCAAGACATCCTGCACAAGGCTCGGGCATACCTCAAGTAGTCCGCGAAAATGTTTATTTATTTTTATGAAAATATTAAAACTACCAAGACATCCTGCACAAGGCTCGGGCATACCTCAAGTAGTCCGCGAAAATGTTTATTTATTTTTATGAAAATATTAAAACTACCAAGACATCCTGCACAAGGCTCGGGCATACCTCAAGTAGTCCGCGAAAATGTTTATTTATGTTTATTAAAATATTTAAAACTACCAAGATATCCTGCACAAGGCTCGGGCATACCTCAAGTAGTCAACGGAAATAACTATTTACTGATATGAATTTAAAATATTAAAAAAACCTATATATGATGCTAATTACTGTAATCACAAACTATTTTGGATTTATCAACTTATTTATGGCTTATTTCACACCTATTGTTTGTTACTTTATAATTGTAAATCAAACGTGTCAAATCATGACCGGTAATGCACAACAAAATTTACAACACAGTTAGATACAATATACTACTATAAATACAATAAAAAGTTCAAGTAACATGGTGCTCGTCACAGTACCAATCTTCTAAAACTCCTGAACATGTCTGATGAACCCACTTAGCACAATTGATTCTTCCACGTTTTGCCTCACATCCTATCATGTTCTCAAAAACATCTGGTTTGCCACATTGACAGTTACTTTCAATCCTTCTTGCATATATTCTCACAAAATCTGAACTTGATGTAATTCCTTGAGGAAATGGTGTAAAGTGACCTTTTTCTAAACAAGAAATTAAATGCGGTCTCATATATTTCTCAATAAAGTTGGTCCGTCTCTGTGTGTTGAATTTTCCTTTATCACAATATTCCATCATGTTGGCAATAGCAAAGACACCACAGTCATATCCGTTTGTTTGCTGTTGTACGTCAGGTAGTTTTACAAGTAAGTTCCTTTTTCCATGACCATAAATTGCTGACAACTGAATTTCCATCGAAGGTGTAAGTTTAAACTCTGTACTTTTACTGTCTAACACATAAACGACACTTTCCTTTTTAGGTTGAATAGATGTTACCCAGTGCGACTTTCCTGTATGATGAACTTGAACACACGGTGTATCCTTACTGCTGAATTTCCCGAAACTTTCAGCCCAGCACTGTTTGTCTTCATCGTAAATTGGCGATAATCCTGTCGGTTGAAATCCAGATATATGTGGAAACTGTTTCGCTATCATATTTATACTTACATTCACAATTTCGGAACATAACCATGAGTTATTCTCCAACATAAGTTTGTGTTCAGAATTTAAACTAGAAATCCAAGGCGTATAACTGGTGTTCTTCACGTCTGTATTAACTTTACGTTTTTTCATAGGTAGTTGACAAAGACTTGGTACTCGTTGGAGACACTGTATCCACAGAAAATTTCAATATCTCTCCTTTTTTTGGTGTCGCACAACTATCAGTATCCTGTTCCTTGGATTTGAATTTAAGTTTCTTTCTCGATTTCGGGATTTCTGGTGTTGATGATGGCCTTCCTGGTGTTTCTGGCATAACAGACGGAGCACTTTGTTCAACTATTTCGGAGTCTGGAGCTGGTATAACTTCATCATAATCATTTGGTCGTGGTTTTTTCCTTCCTGACTTTTTGTCGTTCCTTTTCAAATTTCTCTTCGAAAGCATTCTAAGATTCATAATTTTCGGTTTATTCTCACTTTCATCACCTATTTTCGCTGCCATTATATGATAACACTGCGTAGTCGATGGACACTGACATGTTTCTTTCGGCAGTAAGGTTACAGCATATACAGTACCTTGGGTTCCCTTCACCATAAATGCTTTCTGCTGTTGTACAAATGTAACATTGCCATTTTCGACTGTTAGACGGGCTAGCGATTTTTGTGAAAGATTCGTATCCTTAGAAATCACCACATTCGGAACGTCTTCAGACGACACACTATGTTCACTCAAATTTTAAAAGCTGACCAAGTTTCCTTTATTTCTTTTATTGAGACAATGATCACCAATTATCCTTCTAATCAGTAGTTGATTGCACTGAATGTTTATTGATATTAATTGGATTAACAAGCCAGTAATCAAATCAGATCTAATCTCATTAAGCTGATAATTAGATTAGTTTCGACAACGTGTGCATTGGTCAGGTCACGTTTTTTAACCTCTAAACTATTTTTTCCACAGTGTTTTTTTTTTATTTGATAATTAACTGTACTGATTTATGATTTTGAAGCAAATCCTTAACAAAACAATAAATATTAATTAGTTTCACGTACAACGATCAGGACACCGTTGGTCAGGTCAAGTTTTTTTTATCCAAAATTATTTTATTGTTCTCGTATATTTATGTTTAACATGGTGACATCTTATTATATTTTGAATTTGAGATAAATTCTTTGAGAAATAAAAAGGTTATTAGCATTTTCATTTGGTCCTGTCATCGCCGATGTTGGTCAGGTCATTGTCAACATTGGTCAGGTCACATTTTCGCAAGCTTATAAATATTTTTTTTCTCAATTTTTTCTTATATTTATGTAAAACATGCTGAAATCTTATTATATTTCAAATTTGAGATAAATCCTTTGAGAAATAAAAAAGTAATTAGCATTTTTTTTCGGTCCTGTCATTGTCGAGGTTGGTCCTGTCATTATCAGCGTAGGTCAGGTCACGTTTTCGCAAGCTTTTGGAAAAAAAATATATTTTCTTTTTAAATTTATGTATTAAATGTTGAAATCTAATTAAATTTCAAATTTGAAACAAATCCTTCGAGAAATAAAAAAGTTATTAGCATTTTTATTTGGTCCTGTCATTCTCGATATTGGTCCTGTCATTGTAAGCGTAGGTCAGGTCACGTTTTCGCAAGCTTCTGAAAAAAAAATATAATTTTTTTTTTAAATTTATATATTAAATGATGAAATCTTATTATATTTCAATTTTGAAATTAATCCTTTGAAAAATAAAAAAGTAATTAGCATTTTTCATTTGGTCCTGTCATTCGGTCTTGTCATTCGGTCCAGTCATTAGTGTAACCCCATGGGAGATCACTCTTCATAGATTGTAATATCCTGTGCTATCACGGAATTGTTTCCGGTTTCAAAATACCTATCTATTCAACCAATTTTTTGAATTTTCACAGCTTTCTAAATATTTTTCCTTAAGTTTAACTTCATAGAAACAAGGTATATCCTGAATTGAACATGTATCACCTTTCTACATGCCAATTTTCAACCAATGTTTAAATCTTGTAGTGAAATACCAGAGACATATATGTCTCTGGAAATACCTACGTTTAAAAGGTATAATTAAGGGACCGGTCATTATTTATCTCCAGGGAGGGGGGGGGGGGGGGGAGTAGGGGGGTCATGAAAAAAATTGAATCTGATAGAGGGGGGTCATTCTTTTTCAGGTTGATCAAGTAGGGGGGTCATGATTTTATTGACCATAGATTCATTGATCGCCATATACCATGACCATAGACTATACATGTATAGTTGTTTGGGCCCTTTCAGAGCTAACTTGTTTCCTAGTTTGACTCTTTCACAAGTATCAAACTGTCACTATCAGTGATCTACCTAGAGCTAGTCATTTTACTCTTTGACTAATTTTATTGTCAAGTGACTGATGAATATTACCAAAAAATGTGCAAAATAAGTCACTTTTCTTATGTTTTTCTTAGCCATTATGTTATCGAACTAAGAAACTAGGAATAGAGACTATAAAATTGGTTTCATAATCCTGGCTT